AGTCGTTCAGCCCTGTAGCAAACACTCGCCCACTTTCTGCATAAAAACAGAAGGGAAAGCCTCTGCCGCATTACGACACCACAATTCAAACAGAAATAAAGAAATGCTGATTGTTCACTTGCTTATGCTAATTTAGGCCGGAAGAGCAGGGTACAACTTTTATCACTCCGACTCAGAGCATATGGTCAAAATCAGCTCATTACATATCTAGCAATGTTATTATGGTAGGTAAACAAAATCATTTAACTGCGTGAACCAAGACAACGAATTAGCTCTAGGACTCTAGCATGATCTCTGCTCTCGTATTACTAGACGGGCAGGTGGTGATGTTAAGTGAATGAAGATGAAAAGGTGGGGAAGGAAAGCGGGGGCATACGGGTTAGAAAGAGGGTGTGCGCGCCGCCGCAGGCGAGGGAGGCGGGCGGGTCGGCGGCGCGGGCGAGGAAGAAGGGGCAGATCGTGGGGCTCCACCGAGACTCCAGCGCGCCCAGCCCCAGCCGCCCGTAGTCCCCGTTCCCCCACAGCGCCGCCACCCGCTGCCGCCGCGGCGCCTTGGAGGCGGCTGCGTCCGACGAGAGCCACCGCAGCAGCGGCGGACACCGCCTCGTCGCTCGCCACATCGCGCTCGGGCCGGAGCGGAGAGAGGAAGGTGGAGCTCGCGGCGACGGCGAGCCCACGTCGGCGACACAGGACCCAAGACAGCGTTCTCTGGAAAAGACAGAGAGCCGGAGCGCAAACGGAGCGAGCCCAAGGTGTGATGGCCTGATGGGCTACAGTGGGCCGTAAGCGTTAGGATGCAAAGATCCCCGCGGTTTGGTGAATATTGGGCTTACAATGGTTTTTTTTTTGTTTGGCCTTGCCCATGTATGGATGAGGTTTTCGCTCAGAAAAAAAAAATGTATGGAGGAGGTTGAGGTGGCAGCTGTAGATTTATGTATTTGATGCTCCATTAGGCCTGTCTCAATGATTATTTCATGCAGGAATGTTATATAACATACATGTGTTTTAGCAAAAAAAAAACACATGAATTTTCTCTCTCTCCCTCTCCCTCTCTTTCAAAAAAAAAACACAGAAATGTCTTGCAGAGGAAGGCGAGTGAGTTCTCCAAATATAGCTTCAGCCATATGCATCATCGAAGATGTGAATGACTGCAAGCATCTAATAGCAGTCTCGACAATGTCCGTGCTCTCTGACAATCGTAGCATCACTGCGAGAGCAAAATTTCTCGTTGTCATCTTGCAATCTTCATAGAGAAATTCAAGCGCGGCCTCCACATCAGTTTTATGATCTGCGAGGTAGGCCTCTCCCTCTCCTACTCTGCGATCTGTAATTTGTCTTTCTATAGAAAAAAAATTATTTCTTATGATCTGTGGATCTGTGATTGTGATTTGTGATTGTCTAGCGGTAGAAGAAGGCTGGAGGTACAAGAAGGCTGGATGCTAGTGGTAGAAGGAGTGTGGAGGCTGTTGGATCTTAATTCTATAGTGTAAAAAAATTCATGTGTTGAAAACTATAAAACACATGATTGTGTAGTTGACATACTCGGTTTGATGCACGTTAAATAGGGTGATATATTAGTAAAAATGAAATTTTGCATGTTTTGACAGGAGAGAGAGGGGAAACGTTTCGTCCCCACGAAAACGAGTGTGCACCGTTTCCATCTCCTTGGAAACCGAAACCAGCGTTGTGGGAGAAAGTTTCATCGTCATCGATCCCGTGCGTGCGCCTGGCCATCCTTCCCGCACCCCGCCCCAATCCATCCCTGTGCCCCGCCCCATCCTTCCTGCTCCTGCCATTCTTCTTCTTCCCCAATCCTTCCCGCGCCTCCGCCTGTGCTCGTTCCCTCCCGTGCAGCCGAGCCGAGCAGCTGGGGCGGAGATCCAGCGCCCATGGATCTAGCACCGGTTGAGAGCTCCGGGCGGCGCGCATCCCCTCGCCGGCTCCAGCCGGCTGGCCATCGCTCCCGTCGACCGCACTGTGGCCGCCTCTCCCATCGTGGCCGCCGCTGGTCCAGATGCAAGCACGGCGCGGCGCAGCTCCGGGGGAGGAAGCAAGGTGCGTGGCCATGGAGGCTCAACCCGACAGTCTTCATCCAGTGGGGATCCTCATCGGCGCAGGTATCACAGGTTATTCCGCCGCCACCACCACAATCTGCTCCGCCATCGGCACAAGAAAGCACCGGATTTTGGCCCAGGTTTAGATGCTGAGTAGCGTGTGATGACCCTCCGTACTAGCTTTCTCCATACTTTGATACTCATTAGCAGCATGTTCGGGAGGCGTATCGTATGGTGGATTATTTACTGCTGGCTGATTTGGTGTGAGAGAAAAATACTGTTCCCGGCTGAAAATTTACAGGCTGTCGATACTGATTAGTTCTTCTTCTTCATACTCCCTTATTATCATAATTATTTCATACGTTTATGGATTGGGATAATGAGAGCTTAATCCAGTGCCTACTGCAGATTGTACCTTTAGTTCAATATTTGGGACAATGGGACTTAATCCAACGCTTACTCCGGATTGTATCTTCAATGATTTACAAATTTCGGTGTAAAAGAATTTGTAGCTCGAAGTGTGAAATGAAATTTTTGCGTGAAAGCTATTGTGATAGCTATTGTTAGAAGTGAAACAGGTAACATATTTGTATGGCACATTTGATCACCATACCATGCAACAATTTAATACTGTGGCTAGTCTATGAAACTGGGAGATTGATGAGTACAGGCCCGATCTTCCGAGAGGTAGCCGGTAAGTTCGATTTGTGGATCTTGGGATCCGCTTCAAATGAGATTCGAACCCAGTGCCTACTCCGTTGATTTATTTGATTGACCTCGCCAAGAATATTAAGTTTAATCGGCACAAGCAAGAAGGTAAAACACGCAATCTGATATTGCAAATATGAATGACGCGAATATCAATAGAGGGTTCTTCGGTTCCAAAGGACTAATCGACGATGGAGGAGATCAAGAACGGATTGGATCATTTGTAAAAGGATTTGTCACCACAGTTACAATAAACGATTTCGATGGAAAACTAAACTCTAAACAAAACCCAATTGTGTGGCGACGGCTGTGTTTATAGTCTAAGACTCGACCTAGGGTTGGGGACGGCCGGGGGTTGGGCGTCCACAACTTGGGCTTAGCTATTGTTATACATGGCCAAGTTGGCCCAAATAGGTGACGCAGCACCTTGCCGTGGTCACACAGAATGATCCACGGACCTTCTGGAGCTAGGACCAGATCCAAAATTTCCCTTTCAACGCATCCAAGAACGGCCCGTTTCGATGTCGTATGAGAAAGTTATGACCGAAACAGTGACGACGTGTCTGCTGAATCCGAGAGCGACGTGGCAGCTGAGTTGGGAACGAATTGCAACTTGGGGAAGACCATGGCGTCGGTGTGTCCAACATGGCGATGTCCTCATCGGAGATGAAACCATGCAATGAGAGAGGGGGTTTCATTCCGCAAACCAAGTCTACAAAACTGACGTGGCACTTTTGGAAACCATGAGATGAAACTCCCCATTGAGAGTGGCCTTATGTGGTACACCTTATTCAAATTGCTTATATCCTATATCTTGATTCCTAATGCGTTTGGACCATTTTATTCCTTGTAATTAAATCTATGATTTAATACCCGTGTTTTGATGATTCTATATATGTGAGATCCACCTGTGTAATGGTAGTAATCCAGGCACTTCAATTTTACTACTGCACCCTCCATTCCAAAGTTTTGGCTTTTCTAGATATTTTTTTACTATGTATATAGATATACGCTATGTTTAGATATATATTCCAAACAATGTAAGCCAAAACAACTTATAATTTAGAATGGAGGGGGGTATTTTTTAAGTCTTGATCATGACTGACTTTAGCAATGGCTAAATTTCAGTTTAGCTTAGTGGATGTTAAAACTAAACATACCATGTTTCCTTAAGGGTCAATTACCATAAAGGCGCATCGTGATACTTCTAAGATGTACTAAACCAAGGGCATATTTAGATCACCTATGAATAGTGAATGATATTATTACAATCGAGAGTTCAGGATAGTAGCAATATAGTCTATTTTGATCCTTAGATTATATATTGTTGTTGAGTCGCTAAACACCAATAATCTCCTATTAGACAGGCGCTCGTAGGTCACGCCCGTCATAACAGATAGACTTATCATTGGTGTCTCGTGGTTACCATATGTGTTGTCTAGAAATAGCCACAATTGCGAGATATATGAGATGTTTTTTTTAGAAAAGGGAATATATTAATATCCCAGCTTCTGCATCGACCAATGCATATAGCTGTAAGATACATGAGATGTTAAACCTAGAGTTTGATCCCGATATGTAGGACTTATGAGTACAACCATTGCTGCTATGTATTGCTTGGTTCTCAACCTAGGGAGACATTTGGAATTTCAAATTTTGATTTCTTAAACTATACAACTAAATACCAATTAGAATTGATTTCACATGATTTGTATTTTACCAATTTATTTGATAATCAAACAACATAGTCGAATTAGAACCATTTCCATTTCGTTATGTATTTTTTTCATTGGAACCCAATTCAATTCATGCAATCCAAATCCGAAAACCAAATGGAGCCTATAGTGAGGTTATATGAAGTAGAATGTGTCTATTTTAATTTTGGGTACTAGTAGTTTTATCTCTATGGTAAGTCAAAATTGTGTACTAGCAGCTCCGGTCAAGCAAACATGATACTATGCACGATGCGTTCTCAAAATTTTTAAACTGCACTCTAAACGCCGCCGACAATGCCATCCGCCCTTCCCAGAAATAAAAGAATGTGGCAAAACCAACCGTTTCTCCGATCCCTAGCCGCGTCGCGCGCCGAGACCGACGGCAACGCCGAGCACCTCACGTGACTTGATCACCGCCCGCCCACCGGGGTTGCATGCATCGCAGTCAGCCCCCGCGCGCACTCCTCGATCTCCTCACTCGTGAATCCCGGTCCACACTCACACGCCACACTCCTCTAGTCCCATGGCCGCGCCGGACGCTGCCGCTTCGGCGGCGAGCAAGAAGGGCGTGGCGCCACCGAGGCCAAGCAGCCGCGCGCGCGACGCGGTCGTGTTCGCGACCGGCGTGGCCGCGGCCGTGCTGGTGTTCCTGGGGCCAGCGTCGATCCTCGTGCCCGAGCGCACCGGCCTCGTCGCCTTCCCCGTCCCAGGCCCCGCGGACGGCCCGCGCACGTTCTACGACGACCCGGATCTCTCGTACGCGCTCGGCCGGCGCGTCACCGATTGGGACGCGAAGCGCGCGCAGTGGCTGCGGTCGCGCGGGCTCGGCGGCCGGAACGGCGGCGGTCCGGAGCGCGTGGTGATGGTGACCGGGTCGCAGCCGGAGCCGTGCAAGGGCGCCGGCGGCGACCACCTGCTGCTGCGGTTCCTAAAGAACAAGGTGGACTACTGCCGGCTCCACGGGATCGAGCTGCTGTACAACAACGCGCTGCTGGAGCCGTCCATGTTGGCGTTCTGGGCCAAGATCCCCATCGTGCGCGCCGCCATGCTGGCGCACCCGGAGGCGGAGTGGGTGTGGTGGGTGGACGCCGACGCCGTGCTCACCGACATGGACTTCTCGCTCCCGCTCGCCAGGTACCGCCCCTACAACCTGGTCCTGTACGGCTGGCCCGAGGAGGTGTACGAGAAGCGGTCGTGGGTGGGGCTCAACGCCGGCGTATTCCTCATCCGCAACTGCCAGTGGTCGCTCGACTTCATGGATGAGTGGGCCAGCATGGGCCCGGCCTCGCCGGAGTACGCCCGGTGGGGGAAGACGCTCAGGGACACGCTCAGCAAGAAGTCAGACGACCAGTCCGACGACCAGTCGGCGCTCGCGTACCTCCTCCTCACGAACCGAGAGCGATGGGGCAACAAGACCTACCTCGGCATCGACTACTACTTCCAGGGCTACTTCGCGGAGATCGTCGGCAAGCTCGACGCCGTCGCGGCGCGGTACGTGGCGGCGGAGCGAAAGGGTGGCTCGGCCCTCCGGCGGAGGCACGCGGAGCGGGAGCACCTGCGGTACGCGGCGGCGCGGAACGCCGCCGTCAGGGCCGTCGTCCCGGGCCCCGACGGCGGCGGGCAGTCCGGTTGGCGCCGCCCGTTCGTCACGCACTTCACCGGGTGCAACCCTTGCGGCGGCAAGCGGAACAAGATCTACACCAGGGAGATCTGCGAGGACGGGATGCGCCGCGCGCTCGGGTTCGCCGACGACCAGGTGCTCCGCGCGTACGGCTTCCGCCACGCCGCACCGCTCAACGACAGCGTGCGCCCGCTGCCGTTCGACTACCCCGCCGCGCGCGCCCGCAACCATTGACGGCGACCGCGGCGAGGTGCATGGACCGCTGCGGATTTCTACGCGAAAGTATAAAGGACTTGGGCCTTAGTTGTATCACGTTTTCTACCTCTTTGGATCGTTGATAATTGATACTTAAAAAACCTTTTTAGTTCGATCGACGAAAGCTAAACAACGATACTACAATAGAGTGTGTTTTTATCAACCTTGCTCCAGCACCCGTTTTCCTGTCTGTTCCATTGGCACTTGATTTGAGCTCTCTTCGTTTTTCTCAGCATTGGAGTGACGAGCTGTTATGGCAGTGGGCCTAGGCAGGTGTAGCAATAGTTGGCCGTGGGCCGTGTACTTCTATTGGGCCGTGGTCGGTCCCGTGCGTGAGTGTGTCTGACGCCTGGCGGCAGTTATAAGCAAGGACGCTCCTTTGTAAACGGCAACGAAGAACAAAACCCTGATTTCCCCCGTCTAATGAACTCTTTCCCTCCTAAACTCCATTTAGTTATCAAGTTCGTTACTTTAGAGAAAAGCCACGGTAGTAAGACCTTCCACAGCGCACGCATGCAGCGGTGCTTCAACTGGACAGAACTTTTGGCGCTCCTCTCTTTCCACACGTACTGCAGCGAAGCTAATGGTGCCGGCCTGTGCTAGGAAATTTGGGAGCAGCGAGCACAAACAAATACGTAATGTCCACTCTAATTTAGGACTCACTCCTACACCTCCCCTTTAGGACGTGGGATATTTTTTTCTAGAAAAATGTGCAATGTAAACTATCTCTTCGATAGTATCGTAAAAAAATCCTCAGAAAAACATACATAGTAGTTTTTTAAAAAAAAACAATGTACATCTATATAGTACATCTATAGATTACATTGTCAAAAAAAATTAAGATTCAAGCTTATTACTTTATACTGTTCATGGGTTCACTGAAATTAAAATGAGTAAAACTACAAGCTAGCTGTAGGTAAGAATGAAACAAAACATCACAGTAATGTGGCGAACACAAATAGTATGACATCACTCATGCTGTGGACAGCCAAATAAGAGTGCAAATAGCCGAAGAAGACCCAACCATTTCCTCTGCAGCCGCCCACCTCGGATCGGCCGTCGGCGACACGTGCTCCTTATTCGACGTCTGAGAGCGAGTCTTCCTCTTCAGCTCTTCCGAGACCATCGATAACCAGCCACGCTTCTCCCATGAGATGCCACGAAACCCTTCTGAAACCTGCGTGCTCAGTCTCGCGTCTTGTCTAATCCACCGGCTAGTGCAATCTCAGGGTATTAATCAAGTTATCACTGCAATCAAAGAATAATAATAAGCAATTAATACTTACAGGCGCAAAACCTGCAATACGTACTTGTTTATATCTATGGCCAAGTCAGGAAAAAAAAAACATTTCGGACTTCGGAGTCAAGGGGGCAAAGGAGGTGCTCTTGGTAATAATTAACCTAGCTACACCCTGCAAGTCTGCAACAAAAACGAAACGTGTGGTGCCCTTGCGCATTTTGCGTGCACCAACGTGTGCAGGCAAACATAGAGTAAACTGTACACTGGCCTCGGCGGGCGTGGATCTTCGAGCTACTAGTATGGATTAGGGCCTGTTTAGATTCCAAAAAATTTTGCGCAGTACCTGTCACATCGAATCTTGCGGCACATGCATGGAGTATTAAATGTAGACGAAAAAAAAATAATTGCACAGTTAGATGAGAAATCGCGAGACGAAACTTTTGAACCTAATTAGTCCATAATTAGACACTAATTACCAAATACAAACGAAATGCTACAGTGACCAAAAATCCAAAAATTTTTGGATCTAAACGGGGCCTTACTCCCTTCTGTCTTCGAAAAAATATTAATTTTTAGAGCTTGTGTAGGCTTGCTTGGCTTCACTCTTTTAGCTCTATTTTCAACTTCGCTAGTGAAATAGAGACAACTCTACAAAATCTGCTCCAAAAATTATAGAGTTGAGGACTAACTCTAGATGTTTTGTGAATAACCTAAAGTTGTACCGTAGAAACTCCATCTTTTTTTATAGAGCTACTCCATATTGGAGTTGGTGGAGCAGTCCTAAACAAGCTCTTAAAGATGTCATATGGTTCCAATGATATAAATAGTAATTGGTAAAGCAAATTAGACCACATCATAGTACAAATAGTTTAAGCGAACAGAAAGCGCTGGTTGCTGGTTTGATTGTGGCAATGGTTTCGCTTCCTATCCCTATGAGAACAAAATGATGAACTAGAAACCCTAGTGGAAGAAGGGAGTGATGAAAAAAAAATAAGTAGGGACGGGGGGGGGAGGAAGAGGTTCAACGAAAACCATGGATTCAAGAGCTATGGCATCGTGAGAGAGGCGCGAGGCGTCCGCAGCACGCACTAGAGAGCAGGGCATGTGTCTCTAGTGATGGTTGATTTTTCTTACAATTAGCAAGAGAATGGCCAACGAGATCGAATAGCGTTGAGAGGGGAACGTTATGCATGTTCCATAGGCTCATAACAATTTCACATCATGATCCATTTCAAATAGGCCTAACCAAATGATAACAGTGGAATTAGATCACACCATTAACTGATAAGGTCCAAAAAAGCCTCAACATGCAACACCTTAGGGCCTATTTGGATCACATCATGATCATAGATCAATTTTTTTGTTAAGGCGGTACTATATAAAAGAATATACTAGCATCTATATTTTAATTTATATCTAACTATACTAATTTTGTATCATAAATATTTATCATTTTATAATAGACTTTAGTTAAACCTAAAAAATTGGACCTAGGATAACTCCATAAGTTGATTTATTCGGAGACAATGGAATAGCTTGATAGAACTTGTAGAATGAACGACTCATGTATACATGGGCTTACGGCTTACCTACAGGCTAGAGCTTAGCAAGACAATTTAATTGTTGAGACATATGGTTTGTTTGGCAGCATGAATTGATTCTAATTCTAGCAAAAAATAGCTATAATCACAGTCAAACAGGTCAGAAGAGAAATATTTCTCTTGAGAACCATTAGAATCATTTATCGTTTTTATGCCTACCAGGGAGAAACGACCGCTAGCTAATTTCGCATGCTGTTTCTTGCCGGCCTCAACCGTATTTTTTAATTAATTCTTTTTAAGTGCAACAAGTTAAAATGAGTTGTATTTAGGTTGTTCTTAGCCCATAAAAACTTCTGAACTATTTTGAAGATTTTTTCATTTATATTTTTATGAAAATATGCTTTTTGCGAATAAAAATCTAGTATATTTTAACGAAACTAAAATATATAAATGGACATAGCTGAGGCCCACATGACTGCCTATAGTTACTGGTAAGGTAAAGATAGAGCAAACTAAAGGGGAGTTCTTGCCTTGTGGTCGCATAAATCTATGTACTGTACAGTGGAATTTTAACGGAACTAATAATTTCTGCATTTTTTTAGAGGTGCATTTGCAAGCTGTAAATAGAAAGTACGTTGGCCCCTGCCTGGAAGGAGGGAGTACTGGCTTGATTTTTTTTGTACTGTGTTAAAAATAAAAAGGATACTTCCAAGCATTTTGTCGGCAGAGATGAGAGATCTCGACTCTCGAGTGCCATATGATACACAGTACTGTACGAGGCTACGAGCTAAAATAGCAGTCCCCTTATTCAAATCTATAAACACGATACAGTCGAGGCCCAAATAGGCCCAGTTCCTTTACCTCTCATCTCGCCGCTTGTGAATTGTGATCAATCGTTGCGCGCGTGCGCAGCAGGCTAGTCGAACGGCAGCACCCGCACGCTGTCGTTGAGCGGGGCGGCGTGGCGGAACCCGTACGCGCGGAGCACCTGGTCGTCCGCGAACGCCAGCGCGCGGCGCATCCCGTCGTAGCAGCTCTCCCTGGAGTACATCGGGTTCCGACCGCCGCTGCAGGGCTGGCAGCCCACGAAGTGCGTGATGAGCGGCCGCCGCCACCCCTTCTCCCCGCCACTGGCGGGCCCCGGGACGACGCCACTCACGGCCGCGTTCCGGGCCGCCGCGTACCGCAGGTGCTCCCGCTCCGCGTGCCGCCGCCGGAGCCCCGGCGTGGGTGTGCGCCGCTCGACGGCCTCGTACCGCGCAGCGACGCCGTCGAGGCGGTCCACGACCTCCTTCCAGTAGCCCTGGAAGAAGTACTCCGTCTCGATGAAGGTCTTCTTCCCCAGCCTCGCCCAGCCGTTGAGGAGCAGGTAGACGAGCGCGGACTGGTCGCACGCCACGTCGGAGTCCTTGTCGCTTAGCGTGTCCCTGAACACCTTCCCCCACCGGGCGTGCTCTTCCGGGTACGCGGGGCCCATGCGCGCCCACTCGTCCATGAAGTCGAGCGACCACTGGCAGTTGCGGATGAGGAACACGCCGGCCTTGAGCCCCAGCCACGACTTCCTCACGAAGAACTTGTTGGGCCAGCCGTACACGACGAAGTTGCGGCCGGCGTACTTGGCGAGCGGGAGGGAGAAGTCCATGTCGGTGAAGACGGCGTTGGAGTCCACCCACCAGACCCACTCCGCCTCCGGGTGGGCGAGCATGGCGGCGCGCACGATGGGGATCTTGGCCCAGTAGCCCCGCATGGCCGGGTGCAGGAACTCCCTGTTGTACAGCAGCTCGATCCCGTGGAGGCGGCAGTAGTCGAGCTTGTTCTTGAGGAACCGCAGCATGAGGTGGTCGCCCGCGTCTCCGGGGCACGGCTCCGGCTGCGAGCCCGACACCATCACCACGCGCTCCGGCGCGTTCCGGCGGCCGAGCCCGCGCGAGCGCAGCCACTCCGCGCGCTTGGCGTCCCACCCGGTGAGGCGCCGCCCCGACGCCACGGCGTACGACACCTTCGGATCGTCCTAGAACGTGCGCGGCCCGTCCTCCGGGCCGGGCACAGGGACGGGCAGGGTGACCAGGCCTCCGCGCCCGCCGGGGTCGAGGAACAACGCCGTACCAACGAGCGCAAGCAGGGCCGTCGCGACGCCGGCCGCGAACACGAGCGCGGCCGAAGCGGAGACGCGGAAAGAAGCGGCCTCCGACGCGCCGGCCATTCGGTGTTACCTACGGTTCGGCGTTCGCGCGGCGTACGGCTAGCTCGCTTCGGTCGGCTCGTCGCCGATTGTGCGGTGGTGCAGGCAGCAGGCCACGCGCGCTTGGGGTGCCGACTGCGGACGTGTGTGTAGCCCCGCCTGGGCCCTTAGATTAGGGAGTTGGAGCGATCACGTGAGGCTATACTTGGCCATGCAGCCCGCGGCATAACGGCCTTGCGTGTAAAGTATTTTTTAAATTATATAAAATGGAAACGAAGTCCGAAATTCATGAAAGCCATGTATAGGTCGGTGTGGATTTGCCTCGCCTCAGCCTCCACCAGATCCGACCACCACGACACCCGCGAGCGCGTTGGAGCAAAGCGCGACGGCGGCTGCCGAGGGCCCTCGTGAATCGGCGCTCCGATTGTGGCGTGGAGGTCGATTGCGGACGTGTGTGTAGCCCACGGAGGACCTTAGATTAGGGAGTTGAGGCCTTCACGTGGAGCGAGCTCGGCCCCGGCGCTCGCCAAGCTCCACCATGCTGCCTTCTCCGCTCGCCGCTGCCTCGTCGCGCGACCCCATCCACTCTCGCGGCGACACATGGAAGCGGAGGCCCCTTCGCCACCCGCGCCTGGAGGCAACGACGGCGCCTCCGTTCCCCTCTCGTCGGGCCGCTGGGCCAGCACGGGCTGCTAAGATGCTCGGGCTTTTCAGACCTGCCCGGCCCAAAAAATGGCCCGACGGCGACGGTGCGGTGCCTGTGGCCTCCACCAGATCAGCCCCACGTTAGCCAGGCACTGGTACCTAGTTCGGCATGGCCGAGAGAGGAGCCAGGCGTGCCGTGCCGCCAAGCATGACCCCATTGGGCCGTGCTTGGCACCCCATCCACGCCCACATGGAAGCGGAGGCCCGCCGCCACCGGGCTGGGCGGCCCGTTGGCCATCTATACATGAGGCCGAGAAGGGCGGGGTCAAGGAATCCGCGAAACAGGCTGGGGTCATATTATTTTTCTTTTATTCACAGGCTTGTAGCCTCGTACGACTGTGTATAATATATGGCACTCGAGAGTCGAGATCTCTCATCTCTCAGGGTGTTCGGTTTTAACCGTTAATTCGGTTATAAAAAACTTCGGTTTCCAGCCTACATCACCCGTTCGGTTCAGCAGAAAACTGAAAACCACAAAATTTGGTTTCGGATTTTTTAATTCGGTTTTCGGTTTTAACCGAATTAACTGAGACATTCTGCCAGCAGCGACAGCAATGCCGAATTACAGAAAATGAACACAAGCAACAGCAGATTACAGCACATATGATATATCAAGTCTTAAGCTGTCAAGCAAAGCAACAACCAGCAGCACAGAATTACACAAAGTAGTGTCGGCATCTCACAGTACACAAATCAACAAGCCTCAAGACAACAGTACACAATTACATAGATTCAAGAGTTCTTCATTATTTAAATAGAGAAATATTAAACACCCAGCAGCAGCAGCAACAGCATGCATACACCAAGTGATCTTGACTCAGTAGCTGGAGTATCTTCCTTGGAAATGGACAGGCCTCCAAGTTCTAAAATAATAGATGATCTCTGTTAGCACAGTGTATGAATCACGAAGCACATTAGAAGCAATTAATAATTTACTATGTTACCTTCCTCAAGCAAAGCCATTTGTTGGGTGTCCTCTTCAACACTAACATAGTTTCCTCCATGAATCCAATCATTTGCATAAACGAGACGCTCAACCATTCTTGGGGTTAGTGAGGTCCTAAAGTCATCAAGAGTTCTGCCACCAGCACTGAAGGCTGATTCAGAGGCAACTGAGGTGATAGGAATTGCCAACAGATCACGGGCCAAACGAGATAATATTGGGAATCTTGTTGAATTGGCCTTTCACCACTTTAGAATGTCAAATCCTGTGTCCGGCTCATTATCTTCTGATAGATACTTGTCTACCTCAGATTTGATAGTTCCACCCTCACTGTTAATCTGCTGAGTAATTACCGACATCCACCTACTCACTCTTTTGCTGGTTTCAGTTGTAGATTCAGATTCAGTAGGTTGTGGTGCCTTATCTTTTGGGGCATACATTTCCTTGTACTCTTCAAACAAAGTACGAAAATAAGTGTTCACTGTTTCCCACACTTTTTCTCCTATTGTATCCCCAAACATTACCTTAATTCCCATTTTGATGCAATTTGATAGTTTGTATCTAGGATCAATAGCAACACATAAGAAAACAGTAAAGTTGAGCAGCTGATGCAACGGGGTGGAGAGGGTGAGCCCCAATATAGAGCAAATCTATAAACCCAACCTCACCCAACATCCAAACCCCGAGCCCCTCTCAAAAATCCACGGGAAACCCCACCACCACCCCTAACAGAATCTAAGGCCACCATGACCACCAAACCCTAAACCCCAAACTGCGTGTCGCGCTCACACCCAGACCGACCCTAAAATCCCCTCCCTCCCTGTTTCTCCGCGCCGAGCGGAGGCGGTGGGAGCAGCGGGGCTCGGGGGAGGAAGTGGGGGAGCGAACTCACCGGAGCGCTGAGGCGCGGGAGGAGGGAGACGGAAACAGAGGCAGCTGCTGGGTAGGCGCCCGCCACTGCGATTCTGCTGCTGCCGAGAGACTGCCTGACTGCCTTTGCTCAGGATGGCCGGATGGGGGTTGGGGATTCTAGATTCGCCAATCGCCAGGATGGCTTGATGCCCTGATGGGCCATGGTGGGCTGGGGTCTGGGGAGCGACGGAGCATGTGTGTGCGCTCTGCTTTCTGGCCACGGAGATGTACATCGGTTTGTTCGGTTAATCGGTTTGGTTTGAGTATAAAACCGAAGCCGAAGCCGAACACCGAACAGTGCAAAACTAGAAACCAAACCACAAACCGAAAACCGAAAAAACCGACACTTCGGTTCGGTTCGGTGTGGTGCGGTTCGGTTGGGTTTGCGGTTTGCGGTTAAAAATGCCCAGGCCGACTCATCTCTGCCGACAAAATGCTTGGAAGCACACCCTTTATATTTAACACAAAGTCCAAACGGTAAATTCTCAAGATTGGTCAAATCAAGCCAGAAGCCAGTAGTACAGTTTGGATGTATTTAGAGCATGCAAATGCACCTCTAAAAAATGCAGAAATTATTAGTCTGGTTAAAATTCCACGGTATATAGATTTATACAACCACAAGTCAAGTACAACTCTCTAGTTTGCTCTATCTTTAGTGTACCAATAACTATAGGCAATATTGTAGGCCTCAGCTATGTACTTTCTAGCTAACCCGTAAAGAAAAGACGCCATTAAACAATAACTTTTATAGCGGTATTTGGTTATTTGCGAATAATATCGGTATCTCCCCAACTTCTAGAACGAATGGAATTACTCTTTTAGGACAGTCTCAATGAGGCATTTATAGTAGTTTCTATCTATCTTAATTATCTTAACAACTCAGTAATTTGTTGATGTGACAGTAGATTTATTATGGAGAGAGAAGAAAAAACTGAGAAACGGTTCCTTCCAAACGAAATGGAGTCGACTCTTGTACCGATGCGCTAAGAAACGATGGAATCAGCGATTGAGAGACTCGACTCGTTTCTTCCTCCTCTCACCCGGATCCCTCGCGCGCCGCCGCCAATTTCCCTAGCGCGCTCTGGTTTCCTCTCCGTTCTCGCGCGCGCCCCTGGTTCGCTCTGGCGGACGCGGAGAGCCCCGCGGTGGCGGACGTGGCGGATGCTCGGGGCGGGCGCGGCGGCAGACACAGAGAGCCGCGCGGTGGCGGATACTCGCGGTGGTGGATGCAGAGCATAGCGGCGGCGGGCGCGGAGGGCCTTACGCCGGCAAACGCTTGGCGGGGTCGACCTCGTGCAGGAGCGCGGCATGGATGGTGAGATCGAGCATCAGCATGTTGTGTCGTCCTCGTCGGCCGCACTGCTTCTCGGCGGACTCCGCGGCGGATGCGCGCCCCGGCGGCTGCTCCGCAAGCCTCGCCAGGAAGCAGCAGCGTCACGGCGTCGCTGGCAAGCTCGTCCCGGTCGACGGACACGTACGATGACCACGCTGCCGGCCGCGAAGAGCGCCGCTCCGGCTCCACGGGTGCTTCGTCAAGTTGAGGGACGTCACCCACACTGTCCATGGACGCGTCCGTCGAGGGCAGGAGGCACAGCAGCCACGGCACGGGCGTTGGCCTCCATGAGGCCTTCCTGCACTGCACTCCGTCGTCGAACCCATGCATGTTGGCATTTGTTGGCCTCCAGGAGGCACAGCAGCCACTGCACGACGTCGGCAACGTCTCTGGTCTGAGCCAGTCTGTGTACCTCGCCGGCCATGCCACCGCGTCCGCCCGGTGCGTCCGCCCACCGAGCTCGCGCATGGCCGTCCGGCGCCGCCGCCTGCGGAGCTTGCGGCCGCGTCGCCTGTACCCGGACCACAGCTTGGCCGCGCTGTGCAACATAGATGGTGCCGTGCAACCTGATGATGCCACCTTATTATTTTACTATAATATATCATGAACTTTAGTTATTTTGTTGCTTGCGCAACCAGATGATGAAACCTGATGTCGCAACCTATTATCTTTTATTTTTTGGGGTATGATTCATATATGATTCTGCAAACTATATGTGCAGTCCAAGCAGTGTACTATATGTTTGATCTGATCGGTACAAAGGAATTAGGCTATATGGTTGCTTGCCACGGTTGATCTCTATTGCATTTTTGT